CTCAAGAGCCGCGGTTTGCCAACCACTTACTTAGTCAAACAAAACTGAAGTATATGAAGATAAAGTTAATAATAATCTGATGTTGATTGACTTAGTCAAACAAAACTGACAATATGTCATTTTTCAAGATTTTGTGGCTTAAAAATATGAATAGTATTTTTAGTATTCCTCTCTATGCAGTAAAAATATGCTATATCATAATTCTTTTTAATTTATAGGCTGAGTCAGCATCACCTATGTATGGCAGCAACCCTCAAGCCGTCTCTGAGCCATTATATGCACAAGTCAACAAAGGAAGTCGACGCAGGAATGATCTTTATGACAGTCATGCAGTGCACATGGGATCTTCGGGTGGAATACACCACAGCATGGACAGCAGTGGAGGAGGTGGGGGTGGTGCTGGTGGTGCCGATTCCTGGGTCTAACCATCAGTCCCTTCATCTAAAATTGAACTGTTGGTGAATTTATACGCAATTTTACAACTGTGCTCTGGATGGAACACAAAGATGTCATTCTAATGCTAGCTATCATAGTTGCTAGAATCTTATTTCGCAAGGAATGGGAAGAGATTCATTGTGAACAGTGAGAGAACAGAATGAAAATAAGTGTTAATGGAAAAAAAATAAATGTTAAGGCGGAATAAATTAACATTTTGAGACTTTGCTTAGTACAAGAAAAAAGTATGAGTTTAAAAAAATATTAACTTATAGTAGAATAATTACACTACTAAACATTTGTCAAATATAAACCATTTTGATATAATTGCTTCTTCAAGTGACATTAAGTTATAAAATATCAGATTATTACAAAAATGAAGCATTATGACTGTCCAGAAGTCATATTTCTTACTTGCCTGTACTATTTGAATTACTTTGTTTACATTTTTTTTTAAAGTAACATAACCATTCAGCTTCACTTGTGTACTGGTACTGAATTTTCCCACAAACTTTTCATTTCAATGGTTTTATACAATAAATTTTTATATCAATGATTCGACATTTCAGATTTCATTGAACCTTGTTTGATTGAAAGATGCAGGAAAACGTGTGAATGAAGAATAACAAATTGAGCTTATTACTACATAAAGACATGTTTAAATGATGTAAATAATGTAAGGGAGGGAAAGGTAATGTCATGTATATTTTATTCTCTCACTTCATCGCTAGTAATGTATAGCTGAACTTATACATTTTTTTTTTTTACGTCATTCATTCCTGGTTGATGATCGGGAATATACACAGACCAGGGTTTAACTTCGTTATTGTTACCTTACAGTTACAGGGAAAAACTTATACTAGGTTGTTGTTTTTTAAACGTTCATGTACAAAATTTTCACACAAAAAAAGTTTAAATGAGTATTTTGTAATTTTTGACTTTAAAAAGTCACATGTGAATTATCTTATGTTAAATTGTAATGGTAGTGTTTTAATAGCAGTAATGCACAACAATTGTGTGCTTAGCTTTTCAACATGAGTCGAATTTTAGAAGTCAAGATCCTGTAGTTGAGAACTATTTTTATGCTTTATTAAAACTATTTATTATTGTAAGACTGTAGTTTATTTTGTTTCTGTTTGTATGTGTACATTATTAAAAGGATTTGTTTTATTTATCAGTGTGAATGGATTAACTCATTCATTATTAAAGTTTTTTTTTAAAGAAATTAGAATGCATTAATTTAAAAAAAAATAATAATCATGAAAGCTTTTTCTATTTAATAAGCGACAAACATACAAAAAACTTGTACATTTTGCTTTTTTACTGGATGGATGTAAATATTCTATTTCTTACATTATTGTGTATCTTGAAACCTGCCATAAAAAACAAGTATAAAAATGCTGCCATTAAGCTCAGGCACTAACAAAAAAAGATTTTGATAATGTTTATCTACATAGAACAATAACTACTATCATGATAGGATGGTGATTTTAAAATAAAATGGTAACTTTCAATTTTTTATGATGCCAAATTCATAATTTCTGATTTAATGTAAAATTATATTTAATTACTGGGCAATGGAGGAGAGCTGTCTGTATTACATATATGCTATTTTTGAGGTGTATTTTTATCTTCTTGCATTCAGTCCCACCTGTAGAGTTTGCTTTTATTGTAACTTACCTAGGCATTAACTGTCATTGGCTTTTCGTAGCTCTTCACTTAAGATTAAGAATGGTGTGAAAATGCTTCATGGTTGAATGAGGATTTGTTTTCTCTATTTAAAAGTATTTAAAAATTACTTGAAAAAATGTACTGGGTATGTTTGTAAATGTACCAAAACACTTATATTTTATAATTCAATTTTAACCATGCTCTAAAAAAATTTCGGTAGCTCAGTTGCTTCAAGAGAAAAAACATTTAGGCTTCATTTTAAATTCAAATGAAATTAAATTTCTTTTTAACAAATTATGGTAAGTATATTGACTATCAAGATAACAAAATACTATTAAAATCTGCTACCACTCGTTGTTCAGCAGTTGTGAATAAATACTTGAGACAATTATGAGTTACGGACACATACACTAAAATCATAAAAACGTCTTGGTTAAAGATAAACTTGTCACATTATTTATGTCATTTGCCAGACCATCTAATTAAGAAGCAGCGTTGCCAGGAAAAGATTTTTTCATTTGTTTATAATTTAATTTTATATTTTTCAATTGCGAAAATATTATCATCATAATTAATATTTCCAACAGAATCGTAAATGAAAAGAAAACCACTATTGAACATAGTTTGATATATATAAAATAAGTGTCTTTCGGTCATCATCCTTATCCATGTCAAAGATTGTCATCACTGTGCATATATAGAAAAAGTGTTTAGTGACAATGATTTTTTCTTTTACATTTAATTATGTCATGGCTAATGATCCTCTTAAACTTTTAAAATAAGGCTTGCCACATGTAGCTGGATTATTATTTTCTCCTAACACAATTAATTAGTTCTCATAGAGTAAGAGCAATCCACTACACCGTGAGCTAAGCAATACACATTGAAAATTGTTCCAAAAGTTTAAGTACAAGAACATTGTTTCTTGAGCATCTAAGAATTTTTTTTTTCTTGCCTATACATGTAATATAATTAATTGAATGGGGAATTATAAAATTTTTGTAAGCTTAATTTCTCGTGTCATTTTATGTCATGTACATTTACAAGGCCACAAAAACATGGCTAACAAAATTTAAGAACAATATTATAAGCAACTATAGCCAATTGTAATAAGAGTGAACCAAGCCGCCCCCCCCCCCCCCCCCCCCCGGACCTGATTAATACATACTTTTCCATCTCATGTTCCATGTTGGGAGCAGTCTTAAACTTAAAATTATCTAAAATATCTATTTTGAAGACATGAACTGTATGAACTACAGAAATTCTCTGAGCAACAATTATTAATTGAAACAGACCTTTCTTGAAAACAGTCTCCACACTGATTTCTTTATAAAGTAGGATCATCAACAATAACAAATAACCAAATTCTTTTACCCTTGAAAAGATAAATTGATAAACATGCTTATTATTTTTTTTTTAGAACAGTCACATTGTAAATTCATTTTAAAAGTTGAGGGAGAAATTTCAATATAAGTTTTATTTGTATTTTGAAATTACTTAATTTATATTTATGTCTTCAAAATTACTAATAAATTAGGTTACTCTTGTATAGATACTAGATGTAATGATTTCAAGCAGTGGTTGTTTTGATTGTACTGTAGGTTAGCTTGTCATTCAGCAATGATCATAACGAAATTTTACCATTTCAAATTTACTACCAGTATAAATAAATCCCTACCTTGGTTGTTTCAAAATCATACTTAAAACTTGTTTATAATTTTTACTAAACAAGTGTACATATCACTCAAGATTCACATATATAAAGTAATAAAATATACTTAATTTTATCTGACTTCCTTCTTCTTATTAATTTATATCAATGGTTTTCAACCTTTATCTTATGGGGGTCCCCTAAAGTACTGAACACCACCACCTCACCAAAGAGACCTTGGAATGCTGAGCATAAATAAACTTTATAAACATAGAAATGTATGGTTTGTAAAGAAGCATGTTTTTTGCAATGTAGATGAAGCTGTTGAATGCTGCTGCTATTGATCTTAAGCAAAACCAATAGGGTTTGGTCAGGTGTGGGGAAGGGTGAAGAGGATCGATAAGAGCTAAACCAAGATAGGGCCAAAGAGGTAATATGGGTAGGTAGCGAGGGGATGGAGGAGAGGTTGGGACCTAGGATTGAGGGAGAGAAGGATGGGGAGAGAAGGAAACGTTAAGAGGGCACAGACAGACAAAGTGTTATCTATTACACATAAGAGTAAGCCAAATGACATTGCGTTACACTCAATTCAATAGCGCAGAAAGTTAAACTCTGCTAAAGTGCATCAAATGGCTTTAAGAAGTTCAAAATACATGAACTTTTGTTTTTAAAAATGAATGGGATAATAAAAATAATAATGGGATATTAAAAACGTTAATAGTGAATTTAGTTTATTTCATGGAAATCAAATATTTATTTTCCTTTTATCTGGCTGTACTGAGAGAGTAAAGCTATTTTATTAAATGAGATTGACATTAAATTACTATCGCCTAAGCTAATAATTTTTTGTAATTTTTTTTTTTTTTAAGGACAAGGGGGGGAAAATGGGGGGGGGGAAATAAAACATGAGAATTTCAAAATCTCCAAACCTGACTATGTTACAGATTAAAACTTTGGTACCCGGTATGTATTTTTATTAATTTAAAAATTTAAGGACAAGGGGGGGAAAATGGGGGGGGGGGGAAATAACACATGAGAATTTCAAAATCTCCAAACCTGACTATGTTACAGATTAAAACTTTGGTACCCGGTATGTATTTTTATTAATTTAAAATAAATAATATCCCTTTCCTACCAAATTGTAATTTTTAAATAACTTTTTAAATAAGAATATTGTAGCACATGGCTTTGTAAAAGGGGGTTGGTACATAAGAATGTTAATATAGTTTAGGGGCGTGCGGTTGGGGGCTACAACCCTGGGGTTTCTTTTATTGTTTCAAATATTTTTGTATGGTGAAATATTGAGAATAAATTCAAGGAAACTTATTAGATTTTTATACATTGCTTTTTAATCATTACGGTATACAAAAAAATCTGCATTCAAGGATCTGAAACAAAAAATGCAGCTTAAAATACATTATATATCTAAATGTTAATAGTGTCCAGCATGAAAGTTCTCAAGTTCAATAAATCGACTTTTCCACATCCACATTTAATATCTGTATTTTGTGGAATAATCTTTTGGAGAAACTACAAGACCTCTGCCTTTTCTTGCACCTCTATAAACTGTCTCAACAATGTCTATAAATTCTTGGACATCTTCCATAGACCAGTTAATTTTATTATTGTTTCCAGTGCCTAAATCTATCATGATATGTTTGTTGCGATAAAAAAACATGACTGTGCATGGATCGTACAATTCGTACATTTTGTTGAAGTCTGGCACCTGAAAAGATAATCAAGTTTCTTTTACTTTTAGATAGACTTAAAAAAAAACACCATATTTTATATAAACTGATATGTTTTAAAAAGACATACAAAATGTATGCAAAAGTAGGTTTTTAATTGTGGTTGCATATGTTCCAGTTCTTTTAAAATAATAAATAGATTCTTTTCACACAGCGTATACAAAATTTATTATCTTTTAATTTTCTTCTTTCTTTTAAGAAAATTCTATGCCTCTATCACCCCAACCCACAAAAGCAAGACATGTAGGTTATTCTTAGTGTAAATCTTGAGTGCACTTTAGTGATTTTTTTATATTGATATTGCTTCAAAATATTCCATTTAACAAATAAGAGAATCAGAAACAAGAGTTTTACAAATTACATTAACTAATATACAAAAAAACCAATTAGAACTATAAGTACCTCTGTAATATCCACTAAGTACACCACTGCAAAATTCTTCATCTTGTCAGCACATTTATATAATGTTTCATCCATAACCATGCATGTTGGATCCCAGTCATGACCAAAACGAATGACTACCACCCTGTCCTCTTCTGAAAGTATTGCTTGGTCCACTTGCCAGCCATTGTGTAAATGCTGAAGCATGTACGACATGGCTAAAATAAGCTAGGAGTATCTACAATAGTTCAACCTGAAAAGAGTTTGATAAATTACAAGTTTATGTCTGATTTATTGTGAATGAACTTTAAATAATTTGACAATCATATAATAGTTATTATAATTAATTTTTTTGATTATTGTAATTCTAAATAGTACACAGCTTTATTAAAAGACATTTTATTTTTATTAAATCTTTAAAATTATTATATAATACCGGTATTATTTTATATTATTATTTTAAATTATAAATGATAATGTAAAACCTATTCCTCAAAATGAGAGTACAATGAAAGCCAAACTGCAAATATCATCATATCAATATCAGAATTTAATACCCATATGAGCTATTTGTACCAGGAAACATGAACAAAAATTTGGTTATCAACCTGTTAGTGTTAGTGACTGTCAGCATAAAAGGTGCATGTATAATAGGTGTAGGAGTGACCTCCAAGGCAAAGTGAAATGTGTTTTTCACAAAACTATTCAAGCCATATCTAAATACACATTAGGACTTATATTTGAGTGAGATGCAGTGTGAAAAACCTACATAAAATATTCCCCTGGGGTTGTCTATGCCTTTTGACATATTTCAAGGTCACATATTTTAAAAGCATTTTTATGGGTCACTAGGTACAAAAAAAATGGATATGTCAGAACACCCTAAAATATCAATGAAAGCCACCATTAAAATGGCGAGATGAAATGCAAGAAGCAATCTGATTGGCTGGTATGAATACCGACAAGCCAGCCAATCTCCCGCTGCCAGACCGTGCAGTGGCACGCCGGGAACCTCCCCCCTAACCTGGGGAAATCCAGTTGACCGAAAACACTTTCGCAGCTGACTTTCCTTTGGCTTGGGCGGGTTTGCTTCCACTCCGGAGGGAAGGTGTTGCGTTACCACCCCCCACCACCCAGGGAGTCTTTCTGCCAGGACAAAGTTTGCCTAGGAGTGGCTTTCTCAAGGCTGCGTATCTAAAATCATCGGCATGGGTTTTATCCGCCACCCAAGCCTCATATTCATCAACGTCAACAAGTAATCATGTTATGACGTTGCTAATCCCATTGCAGTCGGCCGGGGTTTTTCGCTTCGGGAGAACAGTACCAAGAGGCAAACCCCATGTGGACACCCCAAAGTTTCCTTGGAGGCGCTACGCTTGCGCAGAAGGCAAATAGATTGGCCTTTCGTCTTTTTCGCCATTCAACCATGTGCCACTAGATCAGCCGGCCCTCTCAAGATGGTTAAACTGTTTGCAGCCATGTATTCCCAAAACATACACCCCCCCCCCCCAACCCGCTTAAATTATATGGGAATAAAATATAACAAAGGAAAATAATTTAGCTATTGTAGTTTCATTTCCCTAATTAACTTTCTAGAAACAAGATAAAAATTACCAATATAAGTAATGCACAAACATAATTCACAAGTAAAAAATTTACTGCTGCTTATCAAAAATGTCAAAATGCATAAAAAATTTTTATTTTTTTTTAAAGTGAAGGCAGCAACAACTAGCCATGACAGCAAATAGAATTCTCTGGGTCTTCCACACCTTAGGCCTTAGGGTGTAATTTCCCCATTGTTCTAGGGAAAGGTCACTGACATAGGTGCAGTAATTCGATACCTTTGGGAGTGAGGGTTAATTATTTAAAGGGTTTGTAAAGGACAGTAAACAGNGGAAAGGGGAAAGGGGGGGGGGGTAAAAATCGGCATGATAATAGATATTTGCATTGACAGGAGTAATTTACTACTACTAATAATAATAATAATAAATAATAGAACACTATTACATTGAAAGTGGGCCCTAAAAATATAGAAGCAGAACACTGTTTAAAATTTAATTTAGTATTTTTAGTGAGTTGATTTTATTAACATTAATTTAGGTTATTATCAACTTAACTTAAATTAAATAATTTAATTATAAATAGTCATTTTCAGTCCTAGTTTAGGCGTCTAAGTCTATGGAAAAAATATTGACAATATTTGATATATTACTATTACTCTTCAGTTATTTATCACTGCTATATTCCAAATATTGTAGACAAAAATGGATTTAACAAACTCAAATTTACAACTTCTCTAGTAAAACGTTTGATTTAATATGAAATCAACACTTTGAGGTCATACTTCTTACCGTAATTTGCACATACACTAGTTTTCTAGCGAGAGCCTAAGGTTTTTTAATTATTAATGTATAATATGGAGGCTTCAGCAATCAAGGTGTAATAATAAAGAGATATGAAACACCCTGCAATTAACAGTTATTTTAATGGTATCTTTTATAAAATCTCTTGCTATTTTTTTAACAAATTTCCTTATATATTAAATTTTGGAGGAAGAAAAAGATACATTAAAAGGTAGTAATTATGCCATATTATTATTTTATGCAGTTAATTATAATACTTAAATAAGGACAATAAAGAGGTACAAAAAACTAGATTATTTTATGAGAAAGATGAACGCTGAAAAAATTAAGGAATGTTAATTTGTAATCTCCACATATTTGAACGGTTGCCCTGGTGTGCTAAAAGTATTCCCAAACTCAACCAAAAGTATCGGTTCTGCCAAACCTGTACGAAGTTTGTGAACCAGCTGAATCCCACCACTGAAGTTAATATATACATCACAGTAAAAGCTACATAATCAATTATTATTCCTCACCCAATTTTTATCTACATTTAAATCAAAATGTTATAGGACTAAAGATTTTGTATTTAAAAAATACAGTCGCCAATCATAGACAATAAACTCACACGGGGATAAGTCATTATCGTAAAAAAAAAAAAGAAAAAAGACAGTAAAATAAATTAAATGTGCGTCCTAGCAAAATTTGAAAACAAAATTGATCCTATCATTGACATAGAAAGCTAACTTCATAAGTCATAAGGTTGAAATAGTCAATACAATTATCAATTATTGAAATTGATAGCCTTAACTAACAGGTTTAGTCAGTGCGCTGTCCACAATATCAGATTGATAACCCGCTTTCATATCAAGTCATGAACAGCATTACAGCTATGGAGTTCAGAGCGTTTAATTTAATTTATATCTAAATACAAAATGCTGAGGAGCCCAACCAAAAAACCCACCTCGCTTACTTTACAATGAAAAAGAAATAAAAGGAAAAGGAGAAAAAAAAACCCACTTCTTTTGTAACTTAGACACATAAAAGGGAATGTACTCTGTTCAATTTTATTCTTAACACGGAATACTCCTTCAATATTTCAATTTATGTTTATTATTCATTCTAGTATATTTAAAATTATTGCAATTGAATTTGTATTTAAAATTTTCAGTTGGATTCCAGAAAATGTTTGGCATAATAGTTTCAGGACGTCTGGTAATTTATTGCAACTATTAGTAGTGTTAGGCTGCTTTATTTAATTTAAGAAAAACACTGGTCCTCACTGGACCTTCTGGTCCTGGTTTTTCAAATTTGTCTGCTGGGAAATATTAAATTCAATTTAATATGTGGTGTGGTTTGTAAGCCACAAATAAAAACTAGACTAGAGTGTTGTCACTTATCCAGGCTGCGGCTATTGGTAGTAAACTGCCAATAGTTTCTAGGCTCTAGGGAACTATTTGGGCTTACCAACTAATTGTAGTTAACTACTAAACTAGCAATGGCAATAGTTTATAGAGTAGAGAGCTATTGCCAATGGGAGTCGCTTAGTCGATTGATTTGTCACGTGATGAGAGTAAAAACGAGTAAGACTTCCGGTAGGCTGTTTACAACACACTAGTGCTTGACAACAGTAGCCCGATACACAATGTTCGGCTTTTGGCTGTTCAAACAGTCAAGTTGAGGACAGCGGTATAAGTCTGCATAAGTTTTCGCTTAAGGATAAAGAAAATTTAAGACAATGGCTTGACAAAGTGGACCTTCGTTAATTATTCACATGAAATCTTGTTCCAATCGGTTATTAAAATATTCCTTCGCCGCACGGATATTGAATAAAAACGCAAATGACGTCATGGGTATGCCGACATTTCGTCCAATGAAAATTAACAATAAAATAAACAAAGGGGAATGACAGCTGCAGCAATATTGAATAAACACACAAATGACGTCATGAGCACGCACGGAGCTCAACAACAGCCTGCCGATAATAGTATTGATAGTTCCCATCGAATATCGCTCACAAATTTTTCTTGAAATAACTTTCTTCCTTTAATCATAACTGACGTATATTTATTGTCACATTTATGTATTTAATTTAAAAAACGCGGGTATTCCAGAATATTTTGAAAGGTAAAATTTTTAAGTAACATGACATTGGGGAAGCACTGATGAAGTATCTTTTGTTGTGTGTAGCAGCCTAGTGATGGCTTACTCTCATCACGTGACCAAACAAGGAAGTGACTAAGCGACTCCCATTGGTACTCCACAACCAGTTGCTTCTTGGCGTCTGTTGGTAAATTTCTATAAAAAACTACCAATTGGTGATAGATTGATGTATTGCAGTATCGAAAAAGTTAAGTCTTAAATAGTATTGGTAATTAAAATTAGTCAGAGGTGTTGTCACTACTACAAACTAGTAATGAATGAACGGAGCAATACTTTGCCAGTGTCATAGAAAGCGGGTATTTCAAGCTCCAATTTTGTTTTGATTTGATTGGCTGGACTACCAATAGGTCTCTGGAAGCTATTGGTAGTTTACTAAAAATAGCTCCCTAGAACTAGAAGCTATTTATTGGTAGTTATCTACCGGGTACCATTAGACACTTTCTATCCATATCACTAGTCTACAACAGAAGTTTAGAATTTAACTACCATTTTGTAAAGTAGGCCTAATTGATGATAATTTTTGAGCAGGTGCAAACAGAATTTCATCCAGTTAGTGAATCCCAGTTTCTTTTCAACATCCCTGAAGCTGATAACATCAATCATGTTGTTATATTTATGACTGGGCAGACGCCATTTCCAGATGGATTAGGTGCTGCAGGTATAGAGATAAATTATTTACTCCATTTTTAAACTGATCAAGAAAAGCAGTCTATTAATTTCATTAAAAAATGGCCTATACTCTATACTTATTGTCTATACTACCATTTAGTAGATGCTTTAGACATCATTGCACCTATTTAACAATAAAAATTTTAAACCAACTACAGTGGAACCCCGCTATAACGCTCCCCGCCTTAGCGCGAATTCGGATATAACGCGGTCGTAGCATGGCTCCCGAAATTTGAAATTCATTTACTCCATCAGGCCTAAGTTCTTTGAAAATTTTATCCATTGCTTGGAAAGCCATTTTTTAAAGCGAAAAAATCACAACTTTTCAAAATATCGTAGCAAAAAAATTATTGAATATTTAAAATCTGTACGATTTTCAATGAAATTACATCCATTGAACTGCATGCCACGACGGCATGGTAGCATACGGTTTTGATACACTTTTCATGATATAGTGATAGTCTGGTATTATCGGTCAATCTGTATTATCGTTCAAACAAATAAAAATTGGTAAATGTTTTTAATGCACAGTAATAACCTATAAATATATTAGCCATAGATTATTTTGAATATATCTTAATTAATGCATTCCATTTAATATTCATCTGATGATAAGCCGACTTTTGATCATTGTACATTTATACACGTATATGTTCTCGGAAAAAAGTTAAATATTGTAAAACCGCGCATTAACGCAACCCCACTTTTAACGTGATTCGATTTTAAGGACCCCGATCATCGCGTTATAGGGGGGTTCCACTGTACAAGCAAATAATAATATAAAAAAAATAATTAAACAAAATAGAACTGGTACTGTATCTGTGGATCCTGCATATCCTCTTCTTTGTTGTTTAAAATATTCAGATGCAGTTTTCAGGTAATAGAGATATCGCAGTTTCTATATTTAGAATTTGCAGTTGAGTATGATGGACAGAAAATATTATTAGTACCGGGTATTAGGTTCTTAAATTAGTTTTAAAAATGTTAGTTAATACTTTTCCTCACTGCATATTTTCTGTTTTTAAAAAAAAAAATTAATGAGAGTGTGATTTCTAAAATAAAATTTTAGTCATAACAAAAACTATTGAAAACAGGTTTCTGTCTAAAGAGCTCATCAGGAAAGGAAATAATTTAAAATAAGACTGAAATTTAGCAATAAGGACAGCATCATGTTAACATTCTTTGACTGTAATATTTCTTGCAAATTCTTACTTGTTTTTTTTTTGGAAATTTTCCTATATATGGTCCATAACCAGAATTTTTGTAGCAAAGTAAAGTAAAAATTAGCAACCTGAACATACAGAAGAAAAACATTAAATTAGAAAATTTCATGAAAAATAAATTGTCACCAAAACTAATATCTTGCTCATCCTCAGTATATTTCTCCTGGCCACGCCCAGAGGGACCAGTGTGGACTCTTCTTGGCCATATTTCCAACCAGAAACCGAGTGCCATCTACAAAATATCTTCCTTAAAAACACGTAGGTTTGAATTTGAGATCAATACCCTAAATATAAATAACAAGCCTTGATGAGGCTGAATATAAATAATCTGGCCATGTGAACCAGTTTTAACATTTTAACAAAAATATCAGTTATTTTCCATTATTCAACTTTATATTTTCAATGAGGTCATAAGTGGAAACGTACAATTTTAGTGAACATTATCTTGGTGAAAGGCTTGGGAAACATGGCAGATATTTGAGTGTTTAAAGTGAGAAGTAGCAGTCTTATGAGAGAATTAAAATATGATATATCGGTACATTTGTGAAACATTTGATTTTAAACTATATAAAAAGAAAAGAAACATTCAAGAATTTTAGTAAAATTTATCATACTTTCTCCTGGCAATATTAATCTGTCATTCTTGTTGTTAATCTCTTGTTTTGTTGTTGCCATTTAGCTGACAATGATGACAATCAGATTCATTTTGGAGATATGTCCCACCAGCAGTCCCATTTAGCTCAGATTGGAATATCTGTTGAACCACTGGACCAACTAGCCCAACAAGTGCCTGCGTCTCAAGTCACTGCCTCAGGATCTGTACCCACTTTTCTGGAGTTTGCCACAAAAATGTTGGAAAATTTCTTCAACTTCTCTTCCTCCTTTGCTGTCACACAGAGTCAGATGGTGCCAAACCCTAGTGAAACATTTGTGCCACTGAGCACATTGAAAAATTGGTTTGAAAACTTTCAGAGGCGTTTGCAACAGAACCCTTTCTTTTGGAAGTCTTAATAATATATTGTTTCATTCCTTTTTCATTGATTGTTCAAAATTTGACACTATGGAGAAGATTAAACCCCTTTGATCCCAAGTGTCAAAATTTGCTGTATTGTACTTTGCAAAAGTATGTAACTGTTACTTCCCATTCACCTGTGTGAAAGCACACTATATCCTCTGTCTAAAATGGAAATGAATGGCTTGATTGGCTTCAGCATTGAAAATTATCTCAACCTTATTGTTGCTCTTGAACACTGTAACTATAACATCATCATTTAGTACAAAAACATGTTCACATTCTTTATTTGACATTATTGAATTTAATTTTTAAAACTTTAATGAATATGATAATTCCTTCTATTACGGGTCAAAATAATTTTTTAAGATATAGAATCAGACTTGAATGGTGAGCAATGTACTTACAATAGGCGTACTAAAGAAATAAAAATAAATGTTTTCTGTTAAAAGAGAATGGAAAAGCTAAGATGAGTGAGACATTTTTTTAAATTTCAATTTTGTTTTTCAAACACTAAAACTTTCTTTAATTGTGATACCTAACCAGCCAAGTATGTAGATAGAGAAATGCTTTTAAATATACTTGATGATGAACCACTCATAAGGACTCCAGTCAGAACTAAAACTATATACAAATCTAGATAACAAGTGTGTCCAGTTGGTTCATTCACAGTTAAATATAAATGTTTGAACATTTTTTTTGGCTCATACACAGTACCGGTACAAAGGATTTTATTCCTCTTAATTTGTGTACAATAAGTTGTCCTGAATCTGGGTCTTGTCCTTCGTTGACCTTTATTGGCATCAAATGATACTGTATTCATTGCTCCAATTTACTAGCCATGCATTCAGTATGTAATATTTAAAAAAAAAAACATTATACGGTACAGCCAGTCATAGGATATAATATAATCCTACTGAATCCTACAAATTTCAATTATTTTGACATATACTTTAATGAGCAAAGCTAAAAGAGGTGAACAAAATTTTTAATCAAAAGAACATTCAGCATCAAAGGGGTTTAAAAAACTTGTTCATACTTTGCTGTCTTAGTGCAGGCTTTTCCAACTCAAAATCATTATTTTTCATTTAATGTCCAATAAAAGCACTTCATGAGATTTAATATTTAAAATTACAGAAGTATTCATTCATTTATTCAAATTTATTGAATTGTAATTTTACCATTATGAAACTTATTTCTTGTGCAGATTAAGCCACTTGTTTATATATGGTATTCTTGTTTTAAATGTTTTATCTTACAATTTGAATGTTTGGTATGAAACAGGTTCAAGTTGAAGGTTATAAAAAAGAGTGCATGAAAATGTGTATGCATAATTAAAGGATGACAATTTTTTTCCGTTGCATTTAAGAACTGTTAAATAAGATACAGTAGTTAAAGTTAAATATATAGATGTAGAAGAATGGTTGATACTTAAGCAAAATAAATTCTTGAATTGTCTTATTAAATGTTTATCTAATGCTAAGATCTTTTAATGAATCTTTTTGATTGATAATTGTTTGTATCCATGTTTTTGATTAACTATAGATTTTAATTGACATGCGAAGTACATTTTGTTTAGTAAACTTTTTCGAAACAATCATAAAGATTGTTCCTTTTTACAAATTAAGTGTATTTTATGTTTGTTACAAAGTCCAAGCTTAAAATATCAATATGGTACATTATTAATTAAATTGCTTCTGATTAAATTTCATATCCTATTCCCAACCTTTTCCATACTCACCATCCCCTACAAATTATTTGAGTAGTCTCACACACCAGAGGAATGAATTTACGTCTCGCAGCCTCTACAAAAGTAACAATACATTTCAAAATAATGGACTTCAAATTTAATTATTGAATTGCAAAGAGAAATGTAACTTAGAAAAAAAATGTGTGAATTACTGCATGAAGGACTTTTTGAATGAAGAAATGTTACAAAATATAGAAACATTTATATTATAACTTAAAAGCTAATGTCTCCACAGCTCTTATAATCACTATTTGTTGCACTTCCTGAAATGTCACCTTGCACGCCCTTTTTTGGAAACCTTGTCCTAAAGGCATAAAAAAAAAAAAAAATTCTTAATAAATTCATAGGTTTTATTTGTTTTCTCTTTGCATTGCCACTCTCTTCACAAATTTACACTTTGTCTTGAGACTGAGTAGTCTCTCTTCTCATATCTCAGATTTTTCTTTCTGACTTTCCCCTGTCTCGTGCAATTGAGGATTAACGTTTCACCTAATTTTTCAGTCAAGTGCCCACAAATACATTTATATGTGAGGATATTCATTGAGATCAATATCTTGTGATACAGCTGTGAACCTTGGCTACTTAGCAATGTGGTGCAGTACACATTTTAAAAACACTGATTTAGACTATTCTCTAGACACAGTACAGGGTCATCAATGTATATGAATATGTGTGCTCTTACCAGGTAATGAAGATTGTCCCAGTTTAAACTTTAATTTTAAAAAATTGACGTTTTATAACCAGTAAGTAAACCTTCTTAACAATGTTTTTAAAAAATCTACTGGGGGGTAATAAAATAGAAGCAATGTATGTCAATGACTGAGTGGTAAGGTTGCCCACCTCTCAACCAATAGTTGGGGAGGGGGGATGAGCTTTGGTAGCGGTAGGCCCAATATAGCGCAATAGCTGGTTGGAATGAACTCTGTGAAATGAGATAATACAGCAACATATCTCAACTCAACCAATAAAAGCTTTCAGACAGTGACCAATATGATGGGAGATTTAAACATTGACTGTCTTTGCAAAATAGCTCTTGTACTAATTGTAGCAGCTTAGTTGCAGCTGTTAGATAAGAATAAATATTAGAGACAGGGTAACAAAGTTTCCAAATCTTGAATTGCTCTTAATCAACATATCTACAATAAAATCGGAAAATGGGTTATTGCAACGTCTCTGATGTCTGCAGACAGCTTTGTCTGACCTCCATTATAAAGTAGCTATAGAGTATAATAGAGGCAGCGCTTCACCACCTCTTTGCAATCTTCACAGTTTACCCTAGCAAAGAGAAACATGTCATTATCATCTCTGACTGCAAATAAATATTTCAGGCGACTGAGCGCCAAGATAATGCAACAAGAGTAGAATCACTACTCCTGAAAATAATCACCTTCCACGAAATCTATGCAGTCGAGCTAACCTTGTAATGTATACCATGATACCACCATATACCAGGAAATGAGAGAGCAGACAAACTAGCAAAACAGAGAGCATCAAATGAACAGCTACATCACTGAACACTGTAAGCAGTTTATCAGAGCTAACAAAAAGATTGGATAAAAGGATAGGCTATGGGATCAATAGGGATTAACACAAGTGTCCAGACCCTAAAGTTTAGTCTAAAGAACCAACAAATTGCCTCTAAAGGCACGGACTGGTCATAATTTTTTGCCTGCAAATAAGATACCGATAGGCCTACGTCTTAACCAACCTTAACCGCGTAAAACTAGATAAAACACAAATGTGCACTCCCTGCAGAAATACAAATGAGACATCAACACATCACCTCTTCAATTCCTAATCCATAAAAATCTAAAAAAAACAACAAAAAAACACTGCGCTAATAACACCCAAAATACTAAGAAAAGCTAAGGACAGTGTGTTAATTCTTCAGCTTGACGGAAAGCGCCCAAATGGCTACTGGATCTGAATGGTAATAATGTCCCGAGAAGTAGAAAGCCCCCCCCCCCCAACAATTGTCATTAAGTGTTAAAAGCTAGTGGTGGTTAAGAAATTCACATTCTTTGAGTCTGCTATCTCCAGCTCGTTTACAATTTTGGAAGAGGTGAAGAGCAAAAAATGAGCAGTGTTTGTACCCAGATTGAATCTGCGGGCTAGAACAAAATCAACCTCTCTGATCTACAAGGCAAGCATGCTCAAAACGATCCGCTGAGGCAGCCATGCCTGGACCACATTCACATGAACTGAAAGTAAACTTAATCGTTACGAGATGAGATGTCTAGATGAACACATGTTTTGGAACGTGTTAAAATAGCTATGTTCTCCAGCACGGCTCTGAGTTTTGTCATTTTATCCATGGTGCCCATAGCATTAACATCTCAACAGTTAATTAAAGGAAAGGTATTATTTTCCGTGTATAGGAAAATGGGGGTGGGGGACTCAATAGAATAGCCGCCCTTAATTTTTCTGGCCACATTTGGGGTCCAAATGATTGAAGCCACGGACTTATAAATACACAATGTGAAAAAACAAAAAAAAATAAAAAAATACAACATAATCGAATGATATTGAACTGCCTACGAACTTGATGTATTTTAAATCTCTTCGCGTTTTAAAGAGAGCCATTTGTCTTCCAGAAATAGGTCTCAGGTAGGCGTATAGGCATAGGCCTGGATTTCCCAACTTTTTTAATGTTCAACACCCACTATGAACTGTTGGCTTTAATCTACCACCAACTACATTGTAAAATTGCTTTTTTAACGTGAAAAAATAATGGACTTCAAATTCTTAAATAGTGAAAACAACATTTTTTCTCTGAATATTTCTTTAATGATCCATTTAATTTTGCTTGTTGCAGTCTTCCTTTTCTTAGGGCTGGACGTTGGCTGAATAAAACAATCGGCTCAAATTGAAATGTTTCGGTAGATTTACGTTACCTGTACAGACTGCGGCCGGTTTCGAAAACAAAGTGCCGAGCCACTTCTGAAACGGAGCAATTGTCAATATTTTTTTAATGCATTAGACTGCTATGCATTTATTTATACTTAAGTCCCAGTAGTAAAACGTCATGACACAATCTAGCTATAGTTTAAAACAGTTCAATCCATGTATACGATGGCTGCAACACTATCACTGGCTATAGTGATTATTTTATACTCTCAGCAATATTGTGGAATGTGCAGTACAACCAGATATGGGGAAATTGACGTTGCTTTATATAGGTTAAAGCTTGTTTCTAACCAAACTAAATAACTAAGCCTAAGTTAGTAATTAGTGGGCGTGGGACTCAGTTAAATAAGTTTTAAGTAAATCATAATTAAGCAGTAGACTACTAAGTGAGTAGTAGAAGAGGGAGGCCTAAGCCTGCTAAGAAGAGCTGTTACACTTACAGGCAAAAATCTGCGCCTGGGGATAGGCTGAATTTCAAATTCAAAGTATTAAGTATAAATTACATATTTTACATGAATTTAAAAAAAATATGGTTAATGTGAAGAGATATCTCCGTGTTTTTTATCATGACTGTGAAGTGTCAACCAAGATGGCGGTCAAAAAGTAGTGCAAAACACGTTATGAAACGACTGGGGAGGGGAGACCCCTCCTCAGGCCCTTCCCCCCACTTTAAATACCAAAGTCAGAAACAAATAAATTATCTGGGGAGGGGAGACCCCTCCCCAGAAACCCTACCCAATTAAAAAAAAAAAATAAGATAAGAATCAATCCCTAAACCTAACCCAAAGCCTAAAGCCACAAGTAAAAACACATGGAATTTACACACTGTGGCAGTGGCATAAACTATGAAAATGCAAAAAAGAAAAAAAAAAAAAAAAACAAAAAAAAAAAAAAAAAAAAAATGGCCAAAAATAATTACAACACAAAGAAATAATGAAAAACCAACTTACAGTTTCATGAAATACACTTTCACACACTTTATTTCAGGTTGCACCGAAAATAATATGCACAAATGAATAGAGCACAACAGCTGGCATTAGACCAACATGTAGTAAATATGGCGGCACAAATAAAATATGATAATTAGCCAACCAATGATAATTTAAAATTACAATTAATCAACCAATTAAAATTTTAACACAAAACATGTCATCAGCACTTCCTCCAATTAAAATAAACAATAAAATAAACAAAGGGGAATGACTCCTGATCAAAAATTGAATAAACACGCAAATGACGTCATGGAGATATATCTTCTCATTAGCCGCAAGCCAAAAATACATTTGCCATACTATGAATAGCTTTCCGTTTTACATGGCCTTGCACCTTTAGCTAAAGTGGCATAAACTATACTGCAAGAGAAGACTCCTTGCCCTTGCCTTTCATAAACTAAAAACAAAGAGACACAAATACTGAAAAATGGATTTGCATATTCACACTCATAATATTAATAGTCATGCCCATAGACCATTGAAAGCATTTCAAGTCTTCTTTCCTGAGCTGGCCTCCTTGTAATTAGTACCGGTATCAAAATGTAAATAGTAAAATAGTTGAGAAACCTTTTTGAAACCAAATCTGGCCATTATGATTATTGAACCCACAACATTACTTTATAAACATAAAGCTCTAGCTAAATGAGCTTATCAGCCATTACATGCAACCTTCTGGGTGTAATATTAAATAAAATGTATGCTGTTATTAATTATGTATCTAAGCTATGAATAATCATAGTTTTCTATTTATAAATGGACACATGGTTTTTATAAAACCGAATCTGTCAAATGTTCTAAATCTAATTCTGCCTAAATAAATAAACAATGTATGTTTGGAGAAAAAGAAGCATTAGTGCATTTAGTGGTAACTGTTCAGAAATTGCTACTACTACAAACAAAATTGTATGTATTTTATTATAAAAAAAACAACAACAGATAATTTGAAATGGGACTAGACAAAACAATTATTCTAATGAAAAGGTATAATAAGTGTGTTAAGTGTAGAGAATAAAAACTTCTTGATTTATAAATTTTAGAGTTATATAGTTATTAGCTGTACATTTTTCTTTGCAAATTTTCAGTCATATATTCATGTGATAAGTTAAATGATATTGCTGTTACCCAGATGTTTTCATAAGTCTACTGTTTTGGACTTAAGCTAATCAAAACTCTAATTTCTCTAAGAGTCTTTTATATGTAGAAAAAACAAAAAAACTGCCTGTACAATTGTGCTAAATAGGAACACAACTGCATATAATCTGAAATGGCATTGCTGTTCCAAAGGTTTTCTCTCTTGAAAACAGCATTTATTTCAGACTGACATACATAGAGAATTATGAGTTTTGATGATGAGAATTGAGAATAACAGAGGTATTATTTAAAGATTTAAATTGTTTTTTTATTTTCGGGCAATTTCAATTTTTGTTTTATATTTTAGAAAATTTAGTTAAAAAACCACATGTCCACTGAGCACTCAAATACAGACTTATCTTTATCACATAAAATGATTGCCAATTTTTTAAATTTATTGGTTATCATAGGTTATAATTTATTATATTTTGTTTAATCATCAGAGAAAAAGTCAAGCGTATGTTTTATCATGCCTATGAAGGATATTTAAATCATGCATATCCATATGATGAACTACAACCTTTAACCTGTGGTGGCCATGACACTTGGGGCAGGTTTGTGAAATGTATTTTAAAAAAAAATAAGTTTACAAATATCTGTTGTACTAGACTCATACATGGCCACCAGCCCCCTATTGGTATTAGTTGGTATAATTGAGAAGACTTATTGTGTATTGTAATCATTTAAACATAATTTTGTAGATAGAAACATACATATTTTCTTATATATTTTCATGAGCAGCTGCACATCTGGTATAACTGAGAAGAATTATAAAAATAAGTATACAAATATATGTAGTACTAGACTTAAAATTAAACATATACATCAGGCCCCCTTTTGTATTAGTTGGTATAAATAAGATGACTTATTGAGTAATGTAATCGTTTAAAAATATTTTTGTGAATAATTCTGGTGCATATAAATAATAAATGTCCCTATGAAATGGGATTTTGGTTGGTAATTAGGAACCACTGTACCCCTTTTTGTTAGTTCCTAATGCTGCTGGATAATGAATTAGATCCTTCAGTACTGGAAGATTCTCCAGGGAATTGAAACTGTTACTCTAAATAGTAGTTAGCTGATCTGCTGTCAATGACCATAAGGAGGAGATGCGTTTAGATTTGTAACCACTTCTTGACAACTGAATGGCTTAAATAAAGAGTAATACTAAGTCCTATCCTTAACACATGATAACTGTAACTTTTCTTGTTATTTGTTTAGCTATTCCCTGACTTTGATAGATGCCATGGACACTTTGGCAGTCATGGGGAATTACTCTGAATTTAGGAGGATAGCTCATATTCTCATTGACAAGGGCGAGAGCTTCTTTGACATAGATATCAATGCATCTGTGTTTGAGACTAATATTAGGAGTAAGTCAGTTTCATTTGTTAAACCCATATGCACATTTGTTCATTTTATGATTTATAATCTTTGAATAGAATGAGAAGTAATAAAATAATCAAACAACTTTTTCAAACTGACTGGACAGACTTCATCATGGAAATAATTTATAATAAGACAAACTTTATCTTTGAAATAATTTATAATGACAAACTTTATCTTTGAAATAATTTATAATGACAAACTTCATTGTTGAAATAAGTTAAAATAACAATATTTGTGTATAGTAATATATATTATTTTAGTTTTTGAAATAGTTCATCCCCTATGAGTTATTTGAAATAGAACATTTAATTGGCTTATGTATGATAGATGGCTAAACACCGGCTACACACGTAACCAGCATAGCATGATTATTGTGTCTTAGTTGTAGGTGGCCTGATTTCTGGTCATTTGCTAATGAAGAGGGCCGGGATGGTGTTGGAACCAGCCTGGCCATGTTCTGGCCCCTTGCTGAGAATGGCAGACAACATTGCTAGGAAAATCTTACCAGGTAAGAAATTTTTTTTTTTAGTCTCACTTTGTATAGAAAATAATATAAAAGAAATATTCTAAAATCAAGGATGAGTAATAAATTAATTACAAAGTGACCAAAATGTAGACAAAGGTAACAAAGAACAGGATAATGGATGTGAATGATGCTTAGCTAGAGGCCAGTCCATCTTTAAATGAGGCTGGCTTTTCAAAACATTAGGAACACCATTTCATTTTGATTCATTTAATCTTTGGGCCAATAATGTGAACAATCTTTTAAAATTAACAACTGTAGTCAAGGCAGACCAGCGTGTATGTGGGGCAGTAGGATCATGAGGCATTAAATGTAGTGCTCGATGGCAGAGTGGTCTAAATTGAATCAATCCCAAGCTAGTGGCTGGAGTTCCATCTCCAACAAAAGCTAAAACATCACCAGCACTCCGGGTAAATGAGACTCGTTAATCTTGGACGGCAACTCATCTTAAAGAAGGCAAACTCTTGGAGATGAAGTCCCGTATAGAGCACAGTGAAACACACAAGACACACTGCTGGTCATCTACTGCATCCTAGCCTATTTTTCGGGTGTCTTGACCAAGTCTTACCATTAGATCAAATAGGCAATGATGATAGACGCAGGCTGACGAATTGAGCAACTCTTCCTCACTTTAAAATAAAACACAGATACTACTCAAGTTGAAAATTGCCTTGGTAATCTTTGCGCAATAAAAAATAAAATTATTTGGCATTGAATGTAAAAACAATTTGAATTTATAAAAAAAAAAAGTAATTCTTGTTTTTAAAAAGCCTAATTATTTGTGTTATTCTTATGTTATCTTTTGTAGTATTTAATACAAATTTAATTTTGGAAGATTTCATTACTTAATTAAGAGTTACCAAACTTCATAATATCATTGCTAGTTCCCTTGTGTACTTTTATCAAAGCATTTGATACACCAACTGGAATGCCGTACGGGACAGTCAATCTCCGACACGGTGTACCCAAAGGAGAGACAACTGTGACTTGCACTGCAGGGATCGGGACGTTTCTTATAGAGTTCGGAACTTTGAGCCGCCTGACTGGGGATCCTATTTTTGAAAAAACTGCAATTCGAGCCATCAGAGCTCTTTGGAAATTCAGATCTCCCCTCGGGCTGGTAAGATGAGACTGATGTATCATCAGTTTTTTTTACAAATTCAAATATCGTTAAGTAGTTTGGTTGTTTTGTTCTAGAGAAATGTGGGTTTCTCAGTTTTAGCATTTTCATAGCTTTGATTTCAGCTGTAGAAAGTCTATCTAGGATTCTATCTACCCATCTTGTAGAGCCACTGCTGCTTGGGGGGTGATACTTTCCTCGTGGGCTTTGTGCGGCCAACTCTATGAGGATTAGAGTGATGATACCAGGCCTAGATGAGGTGTTTTAGGAAACAAGCAAGTTTATCCTGTACAAGGAACAGAACAAACGTTAGTCATAGTCAGGTGTTCAGCCAAACCAAAAGCCCACATCACCTATCTTTGGGAAGGCTCACAGAAAGACCGAAGTATTGATAGTAAATAAATCAAACCCATCTTACTGGTATAACATGCACCAGGCTATCTTACTGGTATAACATGTATCAGGATATCTTACTGGTATAACATGTATCAGGATATCTTAGTGCAAAGGTATGACAATTAGTTTCTGTCATATTTTCTTTAAATGTCATAAACATATTCAAAAATTATCTTGAATTTATAATGAAATCAGTTGAATTCATTTACTATCTGGTTTACTGCTGCTCCTATATATGTGATGTAACATTTAGTAACATAGTCATAGGGCAGATTAAAGTTGTGAATCATATTGATGTACGTAATGAGGTTTAATGTAAATCTATTACAGCTTGGCAATCATATTGATGTCAGCAATGGTAAATGGACTGCCATGGATTCAGGAATAGGAGGGGGTATTGACTCTTATTTTGAATATTTAGTGAAAGGAGCCATCATGTTCAACATACCAGAGCTGCTTCATATGTTCAGAGGTAAGAGCTCAGTTACTTCATATGTTCAGAGATAAAACCTGGCCTTCTTTCATATGTTCAGAGATAAAACCTGGCCTTCTTTCATATGTTCAGAGATAAAACCTGGCCTTCTTTCATATGTTCAGAGATAAAACCTGGCCTTCTTTCATATGTTCAGAGATAAAACCTGGCCTTCTTTCATATGTTCAGAGATAAAACCTGGCCTTCTTTCATATGTTCAGAGATAAAACCTGGCCTTCTTTCATATGTTCAGAGATAAAACCTGGCCTTCTTTCATATGTTCAGAGATAAAACCTGGCCTTCTTTCATATGTTCAGAGATAAAACCTGGCCTTCTTTCATATGTTCAGAGTTAAACCTGGCCTTCTTACATATGTTCAAAGATAAAACCTGGCCTTCTTTCATATGTTCAGAAATAAGATCATTTTATTGCTATAGAATGCTATAAAAATTCTCAAACTACAGAAAGTTGACACAAGATGTATTGTCAACTTTATGTTTTCAAGCGAGACAACTCCATGTCTTTTAATAGTTTATTTTCTGCTGATAGCTCAGTATTTTCTTGTTCCTACACAGGTCAGCTCCACTCCTCTGTCTTCTTCTCTGACCTCTCACATGACTTGCCCCTTATAAGCCTGTCTGGAATTCATTGCAGCATGTTCTGATTAAGATCTTGCTTGCTCAAGTATTACTGTAAAGCGTTAGCATTTCACATTTATTTTTGTTGTACTGTGTCCTTCTTCTTTCTATTTCATTATGTCACATGCTGCTAAAAGATGGCTGCTGATTTCACATCAATGTTCTTCTGCTTTTATAACCTCCCTCGGCGCCACCTCAGCATTTGACCGTCTGCCGAGCTTCATGGTATTCTTTAATGAAATGAAGCACCCAGTGAGAAGCTTTATTTCATGAAATGGTGCAAGGGGTGGAGTTGGGTGGATGGGGTGGGCAAGGACAGCTGGGATTGAGTTGTTCACAGTTTGATTAACTAGAGGTCAATTTTTTTTACTCTCTTGTGTTTGGACCAGTGATTAAGACTGGGGCACTGTAGTGTGCTGACCTTGTGTCCTACTGATACTGCGCCATAGATTCTGACACTCATCCTACCAAAGAATAGAGAGATTTACCTGCACTAAGTTTATATCCCCATTTAAGCGCAAAAGTTGTTACGATTCTATAATCCGAGGATCCCCTTTAGTTAACTACAGACACTAAGTGTAAGCTTGCAGATCTTTGTACAGGTTGTTTAAAGCCAATCTTCATTCATTTTTACACAGCTCAAAATGGTCAGGCAGACCAAGTTTAAGAACCTCTATACTACTCCCCCTTTACTTCAAAAATCTTAGATCATCATATTTTATATATTCTTTCTTTCGTAACTGATTGCAACATACATTTCTCAAAGCTATTGTTTCTTAAAAGTATCTAGTTACAAATATTTTCGACAAGTCACAATTACTAAATTTAAATGTTTCCAACCCTTCTAGAGTATGAGGTGGCAATAAAAAAGTATGTGAAGAAAGATGACTGGTATATGTGGGCACAGATGAACAAAGGGGGCATAACGCTACCTTTGTTTACTTCCCTTGATGGATTCTGGCCAGGCATTCAGGTAGTTCCCAATAACGTCAAGTTTGTAGTTGTGTATAGATGTGTGAAGTGGTGTATAGATGTTTAAAGTGGTGTATAGATGTGTGAAGTGGTGTATAGATGTTTAAAGTGGTGTATAGATGTGTGAAGTGGTGTATAGACGTTTAAAGTGGTGTATAGATGTGTGAAGTGATGTATAGATGTTTAAAGTGGTGTATAGATGTTTAAAGTGGTGTATAGATGTGTGAAGTGGTGTATAGATGCTTAAAGTGGTGTATAGATGTGTGAATTGGTGTATAGATGTTTAAAGTGGTGTATAGATGTGTGAAGTGGTGTATAGCTGTTTAAAGTGGTGTATAGATTTTAAAGTGGTGTATTTAGTATGTGTTACAAACCTCTTCTTAGTTAATAGGTTTGTTGGCTTCGTTATCTAGGGGTTTATTATAAACACTTCAAAACTATAAATTCTTGTATAAAATATCTTTATTCATCAAACTAAGTCCTCAACTGCCATTTCCGTACTCAAAAGAACAACATTCTACCACCATCTACCATACTAATACGTCATATCCCTTTCTACACAATACGTCACAAGATACTAAGAATAACAGATAAAACAACGCACATAATCTCAAACCAACACGCAATCACACTATACACTCAAGTCCCTAACAGTATGTAGTATGGGTGGTTTGTACTCCCTTGTCATATTTCGGGGAAAAATAAGTATGAGACTGGTAAATCTAGGAGAGATGGGCCACTAGGAGAGATGGGGCACTAGGAGAGATGGGCCACTAGGAGAGATGGGGCACTAGGAGAGATGGGTCACTATTAGAGATGTGCCACCAGGAGAGATGGGTCACTAGGAGAGATAAGCCACCTAGAGAGATAGACCACTTGGAGAGATGGGTCACTAGGAGAGATAAGCCACCTAGAGAGATAGACCACTAGGAGATGGGCCACTGTAAGAGATGTGTCACTAGGAGTGATGGGTCACTAGAAGAGATGAGCCACTATGAGATGGGCCTCTAGGAGAGATTGGCCACTAGGAGAGATGGGCTACAATGAGATGGGCCACTATAAGAGATGGGTCACTATGATAGATAGGCCAAATGATATTGGCTGCTATGAGATGGGCCTCTAGGAGAGATGGGCCATTATGAGAGATGGACCACTAGGAGAGATGGGCCACTGGAAGAGATGGGCCACCTGGAGAGATGGGCCACTAGAAGAGATGGGCCACTAGGAGATGTCAGTATATGCAACCCATTATCTTTAGAAGTCCTATAGAAATCGCTGGTACAAATCTATATTATCTAACATTTCTCTTGAGTTGTTTCCATGCCAAGTTTCATCTTTTCCTGTGTCCACAATTGAACAATGCTGCTCTTTCTAATACATTTTATCTTTTTTTTTCTTTCAATGTCAAGGCCATGTTGGGAGATTTAAACCAAGCGATGAAGACTATGCATAATTTCCACCAAGTGTGGCGCCAGTTTGGATTCACACCAGAATACTACAACATTCCTAAAGCGGAAGCTCATCAGGGGAGAGAAGGATACCCTCTTAGGCCTGGTAAGCGCATAGGAATGCTTAGGCCTGGTAAGGGCATTAGGAATATTTAGGCCTGGTAAGGGCATTAGGAATATTTAGGCCTGGTAAGGGCATTAGAAGTGTAGCACCAAACAAGTCTGTATTCTTCATTTGCTCCAATAACATCAAATATTTCTAGACTTCTTGTAGCTCTATATTGTTTTGAATGGTCAATGTTATATGGATTGTACTGAATTAGTTGTATTACATGGGTTGTGTTATATGGGTTGTGTTATATGGGTTGTTATATGAGCTGTGTTATATAGTTGTTGTATGGGTTGTGTTTAATTGTTTGTGCTATATAGGTTGTGTTTAATTGGTTTGTGTTATATGGGTTGTTTTATATGGGTTGTGTTATGTGGGTTTTGTTATATGGGTTGTTTTATGGGTTGAGTAATATGGGTTGTGTTATATGGGTTGTTTTATGTGTTGTGTTTAATTGGGTTGAGTTATATGGATTCTGTTTAATTGGGTTGAGTTATATGGGTTGTGTTATATGGGTTGCGTTATATGGGTTGTGTTTAATTGGGTTGTTATATGGGTTGTGTTATATGGGTTGTTATATGGGTTGCGTTATATGGGTTGTGTTTAATTAGGTTGCGTTATATGGGTTGTGTTTAATTGGATTGTGTTATATGGACTGTGTTCAACTTAGCTAACCTTTAAAATTTTGACAATGAATGTATCTACAGAGGTGATTGAGAGCGCCATGTATTTGTACAGAGCCACCAAAGATCCATACCTCCTGGAGATTGGTGTGGACATTGTGGAGACAATTGAGCACAGTGCACGGACCAGTTGTGGCTATGCTACAGTGAGTCCACATTATAACACATCATTAAGCTAATCACTCAGGAAGACTGATGTTTTAAAAACAGCCTATTATTGGGGACATGTCTAATTTTTAAATACTTTTTGTGGGGGGAAAACGAAATATTCTCGACTCATTTTTCATGGTCTTTCTAGTGGCCGCTTTTCTTTCAGTTTCTTTTAAATTGTTGTCTGGTTATTTTTCCTAGTTCAACGAAGTTGTAACTGACAGATCATTGACTGACTATCTTTTCAGTACAGTAGAGCCCTATAAGAAACTCCAGAAATTTATTAAAAATCAACCTTCCATCCATTCATAAAAAAAAATTCAGTGATAATTGTTGACAACAGATAACGTTTCAATTGAATTAAGTCTTAAATACGCCTTCTTATTACAACCTTCAAAATTCCCTCACTTCTCGCCACCCAAAAAATGGGAATGACTTACTTATACATAATATATCACAGCAACCTTCTCAACTATTGATTAGACATAGGACATATAAAATAAAGCCAATAAAATTAATTGAATGATTTATTATTTTGCAACTCCTATTTTCCCTGAAGGTTAAAGATGTGCGAGATCATCGCCTGGAGGACAGGATGGAGTCTTTCTTCCTAGCCGAGACCACCAAGTACTTGTACCTCCTGTTTGACCCGGAAAACTTCATCCACAACAACGGCAGCAGCGGGGACCTGATCCACACCCCAGGCGGCAGCTGCGTCACCGAGGCCGGCGGTTACATCTTCAACACAGAGGCCCACCCGATAGACTTGGCCGCCGTCCACTGCTGCAGTGCGGTCAAGAAAGAGGAGGACAGGTTACTGCAGGATTTCCACAACAACCTTGACATAGTCACCTTGCTCAATCTGTTTGACAGCGATGACAGCATTTGGTCAGTGAAAAAAGAAGCTGCCAAGAAAAGGAAATCCCAAAAGAGGTCACAGGGTGCGAATAGAGTGACTCAAGCTATGGGCAGCAGTCCAACAATGAGCGGCATTGGTGACCTTGAAGTCGGTCAGGATTTAGATAGTGAAAGTCTTTGGGGCCTGGAGGATGAAGAGTTTAAAATTTGGTCAGATAAAGATTATGAAAATGATGATGGCGTGAATGTGGACGATGGGTCTGAAAGAAAAAGGCACCTTGAGGTCATTGACATGACCACCTTCACAGAAATGGAGAGAAATTTCACACATGATTTTATGAAAGAACTTCAGATCCAGTCTATTTTGAAGCATCTGTCCGGCCAGATTGCTCAAAAGTTGAAACAGCAATATAAGGCAACAGCCTATGAACTTTTGGCCAATGATGTTGCTGGAAAGATATTAAAAGCTGGAGAAGACCAAAGTCAAACTTTGTCTGAAAATACCACTGATGTGGGAACTTTGCCAGTACAGTCGACTGACAAGGGAAGCTTCTCAGAGCAATCCGCTGACAGGGGGACCTCAACGGAACCATCTACTGATGAGGGAGCTTTAATGGAACAATCCACTGATGGTAGGATCCCTGTTGATATGAAGCCTGCTGAACAAGAGCATCCAAAACAAGACAACGTTGCCTTAAAAGATGTCAGTGTGGTTGAAAATAAAATAAGTCAGGATCACACAACACTAGCTGAACAGCCGGCCACAGTTTCTGCCGACCAGCCGGCCACAGTTTCTGCCGACCAGCTGGCCACAGTTTCTGAACCAGAGGCTAACACTGCCTCACCAAAACAAGATCATGTCATTGTCCAAAATGACCTAAATAAAGACAGCACGTCTCCTCACACTGTCAAAATAACTCACCAGATCAGCATCGAAGCCAATGGCAATAATGTTGTCATTGTTCATGTACCAAAGAACAAAGACGGAGAAGAATCCAATAGTTTAAGTGACTCTGCTTCCCACACAGTGGACCAAAGTGAAGCTTCTGAAAACACCAAAGAACTCAACGAAGTGACCGAAAGGTTCAAATCTCATATAGACCTTCAAATCCAGCAGGACGATCAGAAAACGGAGGATCATGAGAATTCCGCCCTAAGGGCCTTAAGTCCCCCCGGTACAGACAAAACGCCTTCACCTTTAGAGATGAAAAGGAATAACCTACTCTCATTAACTAACAAACTTCTCAACATTTTTTCTGGTCAGAAGGAAGAGAGTGGAAAATCAGACGAGCCGTTTGAGGCAAGAGTTCCCAGCTTATCCGGCCTGTACATATCTATGGCCAACTACACGCTCCATTACTTCCATGATCCTGCCAGTATGCACTGTCCATCTCAGACATTCCACAGTAGGTTTTTTGTTTACGGTGAAACATTTGAAGAGAATTAATTTACAAATATGAATTCATGTGTTTGTTTTGTTCCTTGGCATGGATCATGTGACATCACTTCCTTTGAAATGACAGTGTTAATGTTACTAGAAATCCAGAGGTCCACTAGTTTCTTTTGTTACTTGGCATGGATAATGTGACGTCACTTCCATTGAAATGATAGTGTGACAGTGTTAATGTTACTAGAAACCCAGAGGTCCACTAGTTTGTTTTGTTACTTGGCATGGATGATGTGACGTCACTTCCATTGAAATGATAGCGTGACAGTGTTAATGTTACTAGAAACCCAGAGGTCCACTAGTTTGTTTTGTTACTTGGCATGGATGATGTGACGTCACTTCCATTGAAATGATAGTGTGACAGTGTTAATGTTACTAGAAACCCAGAGGTCCACTAGTTTGTTTTGTTACTTGGCATGGATGATGTGACGTCACTTCCATTGAAATGATAGTGTGACAGTGTTAATGTTACTAGAAACCCAGAGGTCCACTAGTTTGTTTTGTTACTTGGCATGGATAATGTGATGTCACTTCCATTTAAATGATAGTGTGACAGTGTTAATGTTACTAGAAACCCAGAGGTCCACTAGTTTGTTTTGTTACTTGGCATGGATGATGTGACGTCACTTCCATTGAAATGATAGTGTGACAGTGTTAATGTTACTAGAAACCCAGAGGTCCACTAGTTTGTTTTGTTACTTGGCATGGATAATGTGATGTCACTTCCATTTAAATGATAGTGTGACAGTGTTAATGTTACTAGAAACCCAGAGGTCCACTAGTTTGTTTTGTTACTTGGCATGGATAATGTGATGTCCCTTCCATTTAAATGATAGTGTGACAGTGTTAATGTTACTAGAAACTCAGAAGTCCACTAGACTTGAATCATGAGGTTAACAAGGTGCTTGTCCCTTTATTAGTTTAGTAAGTTTTATGGTGTATTGTGTTTGTATCCATGGTGTGTGACATGGCTATTATAATCTCATGTCATGACATCACTGCCAACGACCCCCACAGTATAACATCACTAATGACAACCTTCACAGTATAACATCACTAAAGACAACCCAAACAAAGTTGCCTTAGGGGGTGTTGGCTAAGTTGCCTTAGGGGGTGTTGACTAAGTTGCCTTAGGGGAGTGTTGACTAAGTTGCCTTAGGGGGTGTTGACTAAGTTGCCTTAGGGGGTGTTGACTAAGTTGCCTTAGGGGAGTGTTGACTAAGTTGCCTTAGGGGGTGTTGACTAAGTTGCCTTAGGGGGTGTTGGCTAAGTTACCTTAGGGGGTGTTGACTAAGTTACCTTAGTGGAGTGTTGACTAAGTTGCCTTAGGGGGTGTTGGCTAAGTTGCCTTAGGGGGTGTTGAGGGAGTGTTGACTAAGTTGCCTTAGGGGGTGTTGACTAAGTTGCCTTAGGGGGTGTTGGCTAAGTTACCTTAGGGGGTGTTGACTAAGTTACCTTAGTGGAGTGTTGCCTAAGTTGCCTTAGGGGGTGTTGGCTAAGTTGCCTTAGGGGGTGTTGGCTAAGTTGCCTTAGGGGGTGTTGGCTAAGTTGCCTTTGGGGGTGTTGACTAAGTTGCCTTAGGGGGTGTTGGCTAAGTTGCCTTAGGGGGTGTTGGCTAAATTGCCTTAGGGGGCGTTGGCTAAGTTACCTTAGGGGGTGTTGGCTAAGTTACCTTAGGGGGTGTTGACTAAGTTACCTTAGGGGAGTGTTGACTAAGTTGACTTAGGGGGTGTTGGCTAAGTTGCTTTAGGGGGTGTTGGCTACTGGACCGTCTTAACTACATAGGAGGCCCACTAGCAACACAACATACCTCGGCCGTGAGAAGGGGAGCGAAAGGGGGCACTCGCCCCATGCTCAAACAGTGCGGGAGGGGGGCAAAAAGCTCCTGCTCCCCACCAACTCCTCAAGAGAAATAAAAATGTAAAGTAAAAATAAACATTCATTAAAGTTAAACTTCGATGAATTCAATTTATTGATTAAAAAAAACCCAAAATCATTCAAAATCAATAATAGTTTTAAAACATTATCAGAAATAAAATATCACAGGGGATAATAAATTAACATTATTGACGAATAGATAGAATACATTATTGACGAATAGATAGAATACATCATTGATGAATAGATAGAATACATGACATTATTCCATATAAATCAACATAATCGTTTGCGTAATTTTTTGCAGAGAATTGTTTTATTATTGGTTTAAAGTCACTGGTCTTAAGGATGTCATTTTCCATGCACATAAGTGAAAGCCAGTTCAAACGCTTTTGTCCTATTGTACTGCGAAACTTGTTCTTATTACCTTATTTTTTTCGATTCCTATCTGGGAAAAGTAAAATATATTGACGAGAGTTATTCCCCTTTAAAAGTTTTTAAACTTTCCAGCTTTGATTCGCATTTATAATATTAATTTGGAATGTGCTAATATATATCGTGGGTTAAAATTGGGAAATTGGAAATTTTAAATCCAATATAATTGTTAAAATATTTCAATATTCATTCAAAATGTGTAAAGCATGATGCCTCTGGCCTCTATAAGAGTAAGTCTCCTAGAAACGTTTTGGTTGTTGAGGATCGCAACAGCATGTGGAACTGTATTAAAGGGTCGTGACATTAGGAAAGATGAGAACCACTGCTGTAGCACCATGCCCCTGTAGCACCATGCCCCTGTAGCACCAAGCTCCTGTAGAACCATGCCCCTGTAGCACCATGCTCCTGTAGCACCATGCCCCTGTGGCACCATGCCCCTGTAGCACCATGCTCCTGTAGAACCATGCTCCTGTAGAACCATTCCCCTGTAGCACCATGCCCCTGTAGAACCATGCCCCTGTACCACCATGCTCCTGTAGAACCATGCCCCTGTAGCACCATGCCGGACATCGTGGTACGGGGACATCGTGGTACGAGGACATCTTGGATGCCCCTGTAGCACCATGCCCCTGTAGAACCATGCCCCTGTAGCACCATGCCCCTGTAGCACCATGCCCCTGTAGCACCATGCCCCTGTAGCACCATGCCCCTGTAGCACCATGTCCCTGTAGCACCACGCCCCTGTAGCCCCATGCCCCTGTAGCACCATGCCCCTGTAGCACCATGCCCCTGTAGCACCATGCTCCTGTAGCACCATGCCCCTGTAGCACCATGCCCCTGTAGCACCATGCCCCTGTAGCACCATGCCCCTGTAGCACCATGCCCCTGTAGCACCATGCCCCTGTAGAACCATGCCCCTGTAGCACCATGTCCCTGTAGCACCACGCCCCTGTAGCACCATGCCCCTGTAGCACCATGCCCCTGTAGCACAGTGGTGTCAAACCCAATCGATCCGCGGGCCAAAACTCAATTCACACGTAAGGTTGCGGGCCGAACAGGATAAACATTCAATGATCGGAAAATTAAACATTTTTTAAACATTAATATAAATTAAAACAGTACAAAAGTTTTAATAATAAAAATTCATTGGCAAACCCATTTTCCCTCTAATGTCAAATTTGTTATAGCTGGATGTTTGGCATCTTTTCTTGGCTAAAAGTTCATTTATATTGGGAGTAATGTTCTGTGTCATTGATATTCTTTAAAAAATATTTTTGCCTAAAATTCTCTCTCGGGCCTGATATAATTGTCCGCCGGGCCTGATATAATTGTCCGCCGGGCCTGATATAATTGTCCGCCGGGCCTGATATAATTGTCCGCCGCTCCTGATATAATTGTCCGACGGGCCTGATATAATTGTCCGCCGGACCTGATATAATTGTCCGCCGGGCCTGATATAATTGTCCGCCGGGCCTGATATAATTGTCCGCCGGGCCTGATATAATTGTCCGACGGGCCTGATATAATTGTCCGACGGGCCTGATATAATTGTCCGACGGGCCTGATATAATTGTCCGACGGGCCTGATGTGGCCCGCGGTCCTTTAGTTTGACACATATGCTGTAGTACTACGCCCCACTGTACTGCTCTTAGAGCATCGCGGTAAACGCATTGCCTTCCTAATCCTCAATGAGATTGTGGCCTAATATAACGGTTGCTGACACCCTTTTCGAAATGAGGGACCCCTTTACGACCAGTTCGGTATGAGCAAAAATAGTGCTCAACTATCTCTCCCCCCCCCCCCCCCCCCCCCCCCCCCACAACCACCCCCCCCCCCCCCCCCNGAGAGACACATTTCCAACCACTGCCCAACACAACTTCCTTGACACTTCAGGGAACACCTGGCAGCTGGAGTTATGCACCGTTGAGGAGTCCAAGATGTGGCTTTAAGCACATACTGTATACAAAATATATTTTCAAAACAAACAAATAAAGATGATCTGAAACACCACTGTATTTGAAGGCTTTGAAGTAGGTAGCCTACTGAAAATAAAACGGAATTGTGGAGACGGCAAAGACTCTTTCGAGCATGAATGAGTCCTCCTCAGAAACTAGTAGCATAGATTCCAAAAGTTTATCCTAATAGTATGATCCCTATAAACAAGCACATGCGTTGATCGGGTAAGTGGGACCAGAGCGGACCGAAATATTTGCCACCCATTCAACGAAAAAAAAACACTGTATAAAAGTAATATGTTTATGTCTGTCCAACCATTTTCCCCAAGTGTTTAACAATGATGAGTGTGCATTTGTTTTTAATTATGTTCCTATTTTCATTGAGTTTTTGTTGTTGTTGTGAAATGTTGTCAAGCAGGATTTACCAGTGGCTCCGTCACACCAGGAAAGTATTCGGAGGAATTTCTTTTGTTCACACGTTGAACGAATTTCCAAAAGTTCACCCAGAAGAATTTAAATTACCACACAATTAAGTTTAAGTATAATAGTAATGGGCTCGTTGGCTGGGCCATGCATGGGAAGTCGGCCATGGGATCCTTGGGGGTTAAGGGACCTTAGGGGTTGGCCAGGCAGGTTGTGACCTGAAGTCTTGTGGAATTACAGAGTTGAAACTACTTGTTCATTGACATCACTCTACTGTTCTTATGTCCATTGACATCACTGTACTGTTCTTATGTCTATTGACATGACTGTACTGTTCTTATGTCTATTGACATCATTGTAATGTTCTTATATTCATTGACCCCACTTTTCTGTTCTTATGTCCATTGACATCACTGTACTGTTCTTATGTCCATTGACATCACTGTACTGTTCTTATGTCCATTGACATCACTGTATAAATATACATATATAAATATATGGTTAATTAATTAATTTCATGAGGCATTTCCACTGTGTAACAACCACTTCTGCAGGTGTTTTGGTTAATAAGGATAGGCTTCTACTTTGTTGGTGTGGCGTTGATGAATCGAGCGGCACGCATGCCTCACCTTAGATATTAAACAAGTCAGAGAGGATTATCGGCACGCATTATTCGCGGGGTGATGTAATTTGAATACATCACCTACACATCCTGTGGTGTTTATATTTATGACTAAAGCCCCCCCCCCAACCCCAACCCCAAAACCGCCCGTGTAATGAACCCGGTCTGATGTTAAAAGATATTTTTTTGTAATGAACCAGGTGAATTCCTAGTTGTAAGTTCACACATACCTGACGTCTGAGTTATCGCGGTGAGCTCACCACGAGGCCCCCACGTCCCCTCGCGCTTTGCCTGAACCAGTGGTCCTCAAAGTTGTGGGTG